CCCACACACGCACACACACACACACGCACGCACGCACACACGCACACACGCACACACGCACACACGCACACACGCACACACGCACACACGCACACACGCACACACGCACACTGCACCCACACGCACACCCCTCAATCCTGAAACCCTAAAACCTGAAATCCCCGAAACCCAACACCGGTCAGAGATAAGACGGATGGGTGCAGAGGAAAGTCAGGGAGGTCGGTCGAGCGTTGCGAGGGAACACACCCTTCGGCACTCCGACGGGTCTCCGTTGAGGCCCATCTGCAGAAAACGTGGGATCGACTGGCGACGGGCAAAGTCTGCCGCGGTCCAATTCCTGGAATTCCGCAGGTCTACTCTGGCGCCGGCCGCGATCAGAGCCGCGGTGGCCTCGAATTGAGCCGACCTGATGGCCTGCATCAGCGGCGTGCTGCTCTGCAAGTGATAGGCTACCGCCGTCAGAACCGTAGCCCGTCCGAGCCGGTGCTGCAAGGATTTGCCCGCCACGCCCAGCCGCCCCAGTGCCCTGAAGTCGCGCGCCACATTCAGCTGAAAGTCCATGTCGGCACGAAGGCAAATCAACCGCTGCACCAGCTCTGCCGAGCCACCCCGGAAGAGTGCAGCATCGAAGAGTGCTCGAGAAAGATCCAGCGAGCATGGGCGACCCTGCACCAACAGCTCCTCCAAAGCTGCCGCGGCTCCGTTACCTGCTGCACACTGCAAAACAGTAGGACCAATCATGTTCCGGGCCAGAGGCTTGGCACCTGCTGCACACAGGAGCCGGATACCTTCCGCATTGTCCGAAGTGGCCGCCAGGAAGGCGGCTGGCGAAACTCCTCCCTGGACGTCAGCTCTCACTGCCAGAAGCAGCTGTGTGGCCTCGTGGTGCTTGTAGAAGACCGCCAGATCCAAAGCCGACACCCAACGTGGGAAGCCCTGCATCGGCTCATCCTTCGACGTGCGGCGGTTAACACTAGCACGTTTCTCCAGCAGCCCTCTCAGTACCTCGACACTGCCGGCCAAAGCTGCATAGTGCAGAGGCCACCACCCCGCGCTATCGGGTTCACCAAACTTCCTCAAACCGTTCTGGTGCAGGAACTCCACCACTCTATCACCACCAGGGGCCTCGCAGTCGGGAAGCAGGCCGACCACTGGCTCGATCACCAGCCCCCTTAGATGAACCTTCTGGAGGTTGAAGTGGCGCCGGAACCCGGGCAAGTCGCCCACTCGGAGGCAATGATGCAACTTGTTCACCAGGATTTGCCGCATCACCGGAGCAAGCTTTTGCCGATCCTCCAGGACTCCGAAGTCGCCTTCCCCAACGCTGCCGCTCGGAAAGGACAGCGCTGTGCCGCCAACAACCTCCATGGAGGCATCGCTCTGAATCAGAATCCAGGTGCTGTTTGCCGACAGCTCGCGCGCCGCTCGTTCTAGGCGACACCACCCCCTACTGCTCCAGGTCGCTGCTGTTAGCACCTTGCCCTGGCAGGGGGACTCGAGCACCGGACAGAGGGCGAAAAAGAATTCGCACACACTTACATAGCCCGGTATGCTGCTGATGGCTTGGGGGAGGAATGTCGCCTCGTCGGACTCTTTACCTTGACGTTCCAGCTGTGGGCATGAGAAATAGTCGTACCAGAAATACAATGTCTGCACCTGGAACTCCCGCATGGGAACAGGCTTAGCCGTTTGCACCACGGCTTCCGTAATAAAGTCCAACGAAAGAGATCCGGAGCTGTTCAGGATGCGCTTCAAAGCATTCTGTAAGGTATGCATCTGCTTGAAATCGGGATCCGGGTGGTCCGTGGATAGCCACTGGTGTGAAACGAACGCTGCCTTGCCCAAGTCGTCGCTGAAGACGACAAGCTCGCCTTTGTCCTGCCAGCGGCACGGAGCCCTGAGTCGCGTTTATCCTGAAAACACTATATGTGCCAGGTATCCTGAAACTATATATCCTAAACCTCCTACAGGTCGTGCCCTGGGCGCACGTTGGCTGCAAAGTAATTTACAGGAGCTGTCGCCATGCAGTACAACATCTGAGCAACTAAGTGGTCTAGAGTTTAATTTCCCTTCTGCTGTTTCGATTGTTGAAGGGGCAGAGAAAGGCCTTGAGGGAAACAGACAGGTTGGTTGTCATGTGTGGATTACATAGTTCAGCTCTTGCAGAAGTGGTATGCAAGTGATTCTCAGCCTGGAGCCCTTCAAGTTCGCACCCTGACTGCACACGAATGCCTGCCTTCAAAACCTCGTGGGGCTCGACCCTCGTCATCTTCAGCAGCACATCTGCAGCTACGGTGTACATAGGGAAGAGCATCGGAGCGGCCTGAGCAACAGAAAGCTAAACGAGCCACGGTTTAGGGTTTAGGGTTCAGGGTTTAGGGTTTAGGGTTCAGGGTTTAGGGTTAGGGTTCAGGGTTTAGGGATCAGGGCCGCAAAACTCGTGTATGTGCTCTTGGATTGCTATTTGATGCCCAGCGGCGTCGGCATCATTGGGCAACGATCGGCCGTAGATTTCCAGCGGCGTCCGGGGCTTTGCGAAAAGACAGGAAGACATGTGCTCAAGTCGTGATTGACGACGAGCTGCAAATACATCCCCGCCCCCCGATTATAAACAAACAAGGTCTTGCGTTCAGGGATTTCTTGGGATGCGGATACATTGACTACGATGTTCACAAGAGGGCGAAGAGGAGGCCAAAACTAGCAGAAGCTCTGATTCCAGAGTTGCCGCAGTCTGATCTTGGACCGAAATGATGTTAAACGGTATCAATCATGTACTTGTGACAGACTGGTGGCCAATACTAACATGGATGCTAATACTGGTACTCATACTCATACCCATGCGTCATGAAGCTTCGAATTGTACTAAGCAATGTTCGCTCGAGTTCTCTCGGTATGGATGTTTGTGCCTGTTGTACTGATCGACACTATGCATGCCTTATGATCTACACCATACAGCTGATCTGCATGTTGCTCACATTTCTACGCATGCGGATTTTGCAGAATCTTCGATGCTTCGATGACATGTTAACAAAATGCACGCCTGCGTAAACAAGGAAAGCCGATGTTACCAGAATACCCACGTGACAATATTTTCTGTGTTCCCAGATTCATAAACACTGTCGCCAAAACCTGAAATGTGAACGCCACCCGTTGTCGCTACTACTTACGTGGCACCCTAAACCCCAAACCCTAAGCTTAAACTTTGGGTGTGCCGGCCTTAAAACGTAGCTATAAAGGCTTACAATAAGGGTTCTAGAAGGGAGACTCTTAGTTTCCCTACGAGGGTTTCACAGGGGTGCTCAACTCCTAGACCCTAAACCCTAAAAACCCTAAAACCCTAAAAACGCTAAAACCCTAAAACCCTGAAGCCCTAAACCCCTAAAACCCTAAAATCCTAAAACCCCAGATCAAACTTTTCTGCGCCACGGCAACCCAGGCTCGCTCGGCACGCCACCGCCAGAGCCGAGGCCGAGTCCCTGGCCAAGGCATGCGACCCGGATTTCAAAAAGGGTTTAGGGTTTAGGGTTTTAGGGTTTAGGGTTTAGGGTTCAGGGTTTTAGAGTTTTAGGGTTTTAGGGTTTTAGGGTTTAGGGGTTTAGGATTTTGGGGTTTGGGGTTTAGGGTTTTAGGGTTTAGGGTTTAGGGTTTAGGGTTTGGGGTTTAGGGTTTAGGGTTTAGGGGACGTAATAATCTTCATCATTTTTCTTTTAAAGGGTTCTACAAGGGATCTTTTTTTAACATGAAAAAGGCGGGCCCTAATATTCTTAGTCATCTTGTCTTTTAAAGGGTTCTACAAGGGATCTAGTATCAAAGTTCTGTAATATAGGGGCCTCATGACTTTTATTAGGGTTTTGGGGCATGTTATCGTAGAAGTAGAACGAGCATACAGGAATGGGGTCTTGAGGAATACTATCCCTTTAGAGTATAGAAGGTAAACAGGACCATACAGAAACTATAAGGAGATACCCTTAACCCTAAACCCAACAAATAGGGCAGGGATTTGAGTTTAGGTGCAGATGTAGGGCTTTTGGTTCAGAACTCGGGCTTCCAGGGTTTAGGATTCAGTCTTGAGGATATGGGGTTCAGGTTTTTGGGGCTTACGTTTTTTTTTCGAATTGGGGTTTGACATTTAGGGTTTGCGGCTTAGGCTTACCATGGCATATGTCTTGAAAGGCTTTCAGCATCAGTGTTGAACATTGAAGGATCATCCGATCCCACGCATGCAGAATTGCAGTCTTGATCTCTGGCGACAGGAGCAAAATGCTCTACGAAAACGGAGCATGCCCACACTGTGTTTTTCTAGGTCGTGAACTTGCCAGCATTGATCTATAGAGACTCTAGAGCTATCAACGCGCAACGCTTAGATGCAATCGCTTCGGATATCTGTGTGAAGAGGGGTTGATATTCGGCATTTTGGTCAGTGCACGTAAGAAAGAGCTCCTTTGGAATATTTTAAATTGGGTGTGAGTTGTGGGGAGTCCTGGTAAAAAGTCGTTTGATAATCTTCCTTATGACACGCGCTTCAAGCGGTGATCGCAGCCTCTGCAAGCCCTGGGCATTTGGGCGAAGCGTTCTCGATATTTGGCCGGAGAGCCGCATCGAATCAATGCAAGTCAATGTGTGAAAACTGACACCCTGAAACCACCAAGACTAAGCAGACCGCACAGTATGAACTTCTTGGACAAGAAACCCCTAAAGCTAGCCCTGGTTGATCCCCGAGCGATGGGGAGCACTAGAAGATTCGAAACCCAACGAAGCCAGAAGACTTTTTGCCAGTAGTTACAATGGTTGGTTTTAGGGTGACTGGTTTAGTTTTAAGTTTTTCGAATCAAAATCGGCAACAGGGTCTGGTTGCTGAAAGCATTTCCTGCCTACTTGAGAGCTTGTGATGTGGTGCGCTTACACGGCCCCTTGTCAGCAGCATTTCCAAAATAATTCAGAACGTTCCTGTTGTGATCTCGTTTTACCGCTTCGGACATTCTGCCGATATTATTGTGTCTGTGGCGTGCAAAAACTGACCAACGACTCCCTATGTCCATGAACCAAAGATCTTGCGAACCCCGAACCCCAAACCTAGGAACCCTAAACCCCAAAGCTGAAAACCCTAAGCCCCAAAGCTGTGGACCCTAAACCCCACAGCTGCAAACCCTAAGTGCTGTCATGCAGGTGCGCCAGGCGACTGCAGAAGCCAAGGAGGTGCACCAACTTTGCTAGAACGAGTTTGACTGGAGGGCTGAACTGAGTTGGAACCTAATTCATAATTAGTATTTTTGAGATAGACGGGCTCAGAGGCATGTTAGGTGATCTTCATATAGGGACCACAAAGGAATCTATTCTTCAGATCCCGGAATCAGGCTCTTAGGGCTTAATGGCGTGTAGTGTGTAGAGCTTACCTGGCAGCCTATACCCATCAGGGTCGTTCTCTAAATTAGGGTCCCGTTTTAGGTAGTACGGCACCCTTATATAAAGGACCCTAAGAGGGACCCCTGATTTAGAGAACCGCCCATAAACCTTTTAGGGCCTAAACCCTAAACCGATCCAGATCATTCATCTGAGGAGGCAAGAGCTGAGCTCCGAGGTGAGGAACAGCTGTGCCGGGGCCTCATTCCTGGCTCCTTGCCGCCGGATCCCATGACTTCTAAGGGTAAACTGGACCCTAAACCCCTAAACCCCCCAAACCCTGAACCCCTAAACCCCCAAACCCTGAACCCTAAACCCCTAAACCCCGAAACCCTGAACCCTAAACCCGAAACCCTAAGGAGTTGGCTTCGGGAGTCCCCGAGAAGCAGCAGAACCCTAGGATAGACCCAGAGAGCCCAATACCCCTTAAATAGGGGCCTTACAATTATGATTTAAGGT